TTACCTCCTCATATGGAGCACCTGCACATCAGCAGTACCCCTAATTTTGGGAAACTCCCATATCTAAGACTTGAGCCCTCAAATTTTCTACGGGAGCCAGACTGGCTTTGGCATGTGGCGACTGCACTGTAGGAATGGATCCTGATAGAAGTCCCTATGTGTACTGTAGTCTAAACTCCTTAAAGGGGGGCTATATAGGGAATTATATAGGGAACTACTATAGGGGTTATTAAGGGGGAAAACTAGGAGTTTAGACTATAGCTCATGTAACCTATTATGGTAGTTTCCGCTTCTTTTCCATTCCTTCATTCCCAGCTAACCAAAGGTAAGAATGGAAACAAGTCGGCTTTGAAAAACACGGTCGCCGCTGCGCGAAGAAGGGGTGCAGCCACGTGTTAGCAATCCATCAGTGCATCAGCCGTGCATCGTGCGAAGAAGTACTCTACCAGACTGTTGCCCAAATCAAGTGAGCTAATAGTGTAAACTCCTTAATGGGGTTATGTTGGGGAGCATATAGGGGACTACTATAGTGCTTATCACGGGAGATGTTAGGATTTTAGACTATAGCTCAAATGAATGTGCAATGATCTAAGGTTCGCAAGCTGGCAGATGGCACCGCGACCGTCTCAAGAGAACGAAGTGCCGGGCACCAAGCAACAGAGTTTCCGTACATTTCAGGTTCAGGTAAGGTCTCCAGGCTGCGTCCAAGTTGTGAGTCGTGCATAGTGGCAGGCGGATGCATTTCTCGCGTTTGATGCGTACTCCACGCCGATGCTGGTCGCTGAAATTGACATTTGCATTATCTGCATTGAGGGCGCAAACATGCGCAAACTGTATGGCCTCAAATGGCAGACAGTCTCAGGCCTGGCACCAGAGAGGTGCGCTTGGGTCACGTTCGCAGGGGCCTTTTCTTGCTTGGCTTGTTGGGCAGCAGGGCAGTAATGATTCATTCGTTGTGCGGCAGCAGATGCAATGTCGCGGCTGCAGATTTCTTTGCGTTCGTTGCGCCACGTCTTGGTGCAGAACATTTAGCTGGAGTCCACAGAACCTCAGCTTCAGCCCGGGTTGCTGACGAGTGAATTTCATGGCTCAGGTCGTCTGGCGACGTGTGGCAGACGTGGAGCATGGTGCCGATGCATACCAGGTCTGACGATTCTGACGTTGCTACTTTGCTCCGCTCTGCTGCTGCAATGTCTTGGAGGCAGCGGCAGCAATGCGCACTGGAGGCCAGGCATGAGCAACACTCGAGCAGAATCTCCGAAGCACCGCTTTTCGTTATGGGGAGGTCTACCCGCCACTGATGAAGGCGGAAGCCTTGCAGCTGCCTGAGATTGGAACGGTCAAGAATCTCAGGGTCACGGAGACTGGCTTTAGGATCCGCTCAGCAGCGAATCTATGCGGCTGACAAAGTGCTCGGACAAGGCAAGGCTGCTTGGGACAGATCCTCTACATGTCAATTACGAGAAACGTGATGATTCAAGGCCCAGCTTACAGCTGCCGTTTGGCGTGCGCACCTTTTTTTGAGGGAATGCAACTCCCGCTCTATCCAGGAAGACTTGCGTGGTGCGGCTAAGGCTGGGAGAAGTTGGACGAGAAGGACCCAAACCGCTATTGGGCTACAGCCTCAGCCCTCAAGACAACATGTTCAGGTCTGCGAAGCTGCATGCCTGCTAAGACTGCTGGAGATGAAACCTGGATGTACTGGGAGAGTTTCTGGGTTCCAGCAGAGGACTCCATTATGCATATATAACCTCAATATACTACAGTAGTTTCCATTCTCTTTTCCATTATCCCTATATAGCCCCTCTATAACCCCTATATAACCCCTATATACTATAGTAGTTTCCATTCTCTTGATCTGTTTGCACTTGTGCCGGACTGGGAGTGTTCAAGCTGCTTATTCGCGAGGACGCGGCGCTTGCCACGACAGGCTGGGAATAATATTGGGGTTATGTAGGGTTGTAGGGGGGTTTTGTAGGGGTTATATAGGGATAATGGAAAAGACAATGGAAACTACCATAGAATATTGAGGTTATATAGGATAATGGAAAAGAGACTGGAAACTGCCACCATGGTATATTGGGGTTATATAGGGATGCTGGTCTGCAGCTAAACGAGTAGCAGAGGGATAAGCGCAGGCCCTGCGTTTGGAGATGCTGATGGGCGGATGCAATTTCCTAAGCTGCCTCATGCTTCCTGCATTGTTGTGTTCACGCTGGTGATGGACACGAGGCTGCAGCCAACTCTGGGTGGCGAAGCCCGCAGCTTGGTTGGGGGATTTTGGGAATCTGCAACGACCAAGAATTGCAATTCAAGGTATCTGCGCCCTCGGACAGCGTAAGTGTGCTGCAGCAGGACCTCATATGGCAAGCCGTGCATACTACAAGTCTTCTTAGATGAAGCTCAGAAGCGAGTGCTTTGACAGCGCCCAGGATCTGGGCCACGAGGATGAGCAAGAAAGGCTAACTCGGGCCGCTCTCAAGGAGACCTTGAATCCTTTTCGTTCCAAAGGTGCTTTCCCATCTGGGCCATCTGAAAGGACAAAGCATACTCCATCGTTTACGAGTATAACGTCTGAAGCTTGGGGCCAACGCTTTGCCGTGCGCATGGGGTTGAGGCTCAGTCGCCTGCAGGTGTGGGGTAGCGACGTGTCGCGCTCCGGGACAGGCTTTCGAGCCTCCCAAAAAGAGCCACTTTTCATGCGCCAGATCAACATTGACATAAGCAGAGCCATTCAGGGTGTGTTTGGTGACGTTAGCCTGGGCCAGGCTCTGATCTCTGGAGTCCCGAAGCTCGCTTGGCAGTCACAGCGCTGGAGGCCTGAGCTTACGTCTTGGAAGGAAGGCAAAACTCTTCTATAGTCTACTATAGTAGTTTCCATTTTCTTTTCCATTATCCCAATATATAACCCCAATATATAAACCCAATATTTTGGGATCAAGGCAGTCATTGACACATTCCATATCCGCTCCATGCTGGACTGTGCCTGTGGAGATGCTACCTGGCACTGCACCCAGCCTACCAGAGCCTCGCCCCACGTGTTCAGTTTCCTAGAGAAAGCGCTTGCATGCTTCTAGGATGGTTCCCTTCTTCGTCGCAAAGCACCCCGAAATCCAGTATACTGGTGTGGTGACCCTGATTTGTTGTGGCTTTGCGATGCTACAAGCACCAAAGCATATCACGAAAGCGGACGCATGCCAGGATGTTGTTTCCGATGTGATTGCCCGGAACAAGCAGCGCCACCCAGGCGTCAATTTTCTGTCGCAGGACCTGAGCTTGCTGCATTTGATGATAACCTTCCCGGCACATTTAGCTCTCCTGTTCGGGGCCGTCGTTCAGAGTAGAGGACCTGTCGGAGATTCCTCTGCCAAAGGGAGCTGAGCTGATCTTCTCCAAGGAAACGTTCAAGGCTCAGCTTGAGGACGCTGATCTGTAATGTCAAGCAGAGAACAGAGGTTTCTCAAATTCCTTGCCTGACCAACCTGAGGGTGAATCATATGCATCTCATAGATGCGCAGAAAGCAATTCAGCAATTTGCAGCCACCGGCGCAAGATATTTGCTGACGAATGCCCGGCCCTCAGAAAGACCAACTGAAACGCAAAAGTAGGTTGTGGTTTGTTGGGCCGGGTTCGGTTCGATGTCTGGGTCTTGCGTGCTCTGGTCGCCTAGCCCGGATCCTTGTGTTTCGGCCCGGGGAGGCGCTGAGAATGGATGCTCAAACAAATGGATGATACTGCCCATTGGTATCGTGATGGTGATTGTGTTTGTTCAGCACGTCGCACATGTCAAAATGGATGCTCGCGGAGATGGACATTGTTATGGCTTCGGCATCCTCAAACTCAAGCGACCCTGTCGACGTGGTGGAGCAGCGATGCTGTCCTGTTGGAGGAGGCTCCGCATCTATTTGCAGTCAGGAGCACTAGCGCAGGCTACGCAGGTGGCGCAACTGGCGCACTCAGCGCAGTGCAACTGGCGCAGGCGGCGCGACAGGCCCAAACCCGCGTGTGCGAAGTGCAGAGCAAACGCTCATGGCGCAATTTGGCGTGGGCAGTGCAGGCTTAAAACAACCAAAGTCTGGCCATGCCTTCTGCCCGCACTCGCCAAGTTTGTGCGGTGCTTCTGAAAGACGTGTAGTTTACTGTTGGTACGACTACTGATAGACTGTACGTACCATCTACCTACCACCCACCAAATACTGCTAATCTTGCTCCTCCTGCTATCTCTATTGCTACATCTACTACTGCTATGCTGGTACAAAACAAGTAGTCGTAATAGTCGTCGTCGTAGTAGTAGTAGTAGTAGTACTACTACTGCTACTCCTACTACTACTACTACTACTCCTACTACTACTACTACTACTACTACTACTACTACTATTTGCATTCAAGCACAGCCAGTCCGAGTCGGCTTGTGAACAGCTAAAGTGGCGGCGGCCTTGCGCCGGCGCATCATGTGCGCAAAAAAATCCACTGTGGGAGTCAGTGC